TCGGAAGTTTGACTTCTAAACTTCCTTCGGCCATGTTTCAATGCATTTCTCCTCGCCCCTCAAACAAACCCTCAAGCATGCAAAGTGCATGTGCAGCAAGTTGACGGCAGCTTGCACTTCTATATACTGCTTTCTCAGTCTGTGCAAACATCAGACCCTTGTTGATAGCAGTTTGCACATGCTTCACACTTCATGATTTTGAGGATAGCATCAGCTTCAACATGCTTCTGCGCGCGTTTGACGCGATACCTTCACCATCTCTTGGAGTGAAGTCTCGATGGAGAACAGCGCTCCAAGTGCTGGGGGCCTTCGTCGCATTGCGGCTGAGGCCAAGAGTCATCACCTTCAGCAGCTGTGTGAGCAGCTGTGCCACGGCTGGACAGCAACTTGATTCGCAGATCAGCCACTGAAGAGAACTTTCAACTCCCAATTCCTGCGCGAGGGATTTTTCTTGCCCTGAAGGCTGTGTACACCCCTAAACTATCCCAAACCACACATGCATGTAACAACGGACATCCCTCAGACCTGCGGTGACATTTCGGCAGGTGGCGGTGGGCACTCTTTTTGGAGCAGTGTTTGGAAGGCCAGGCCCTCCATACCTATGATTATGAAAACATTTGCAGTAGCCATGTGTTTTCTTTCCCTTGCACGTGTCACAAATGCCTTCACACCCAGCGGAAACAGGTGCTGGCCTTGTGCCAAGCATTGTGACCCAGGAGAAGACCCTGCAAGCGGCTCAGGTGGGGTGCTGCTGACGGTGGAGGTGCTAACACACTTGTCCGCCATGTTGTTTCTGGGTTGCCTCACCTCCGGCCGATTCAGACCTGGTCGCACTTACTGTACTTGAGCAGGATGAATACCGACCCATACAATTGATTCTGGTGTACCCCACTTGTTGATGCTTCCAATCCTGCTGTTGCGCTCAAACTGACAACTGCCAGCACAAAGTCGCCCCATTTTTCGCTCTGCGGGGGTCCTTTGGATTGCGCAGGTGGGCCGGCAGGTACGACTCGCGTTGTTGCGTTTGAACGAGATGGAGCAAGAGGCAAGTATTGGTGAACGCAGCTACATGTGTGTATGTATATCTATAAAATTATATATATATATTTGTATATTTACATATACAGCAACAAACACATGTATATATATATAATTATACATATACAGCAACATACAGTATACCAACAATGCAAAGATTCTCGGTTGCCGCAATGAAACACTTGCATTCCAGCAATCTATGAGTATTTTGCCTCAACCCACCTGTATATCACTTATTTCTTTTCGCTGGTCATGATTTTATCCATGTAGGCTAATTTGGTCGCGCACTTCTTTGTGCCTTTGTCAATTGTGCCTTGTACAGTTTACGGCCACATTGCTGAATGCTTTACTGTAGATTTACTGTATGTTCCTTGTCATGTGTTTTCACAAAATTGCACAAGAATCACACGAGATTAACAGGTAGAACCTGTGTGCGTCTTGGTGATTTCCACAAGAGCTTATCTGTACAGGTAATGTTTACTTTTTGCCATGGACATATACTTTGATTGGGATGGATTTGGTTCTCCCCTTTCTCTTTATGAGAGTTCTTGAGTGAGGCGACAGCTCTTTCTTTTCTTGCGTGCAGGTCTTTACCTTGCATGGTCCTCGTATGAGAGAGGCCTCTGTGTAGACGTACAGTACATTAGATGTACCTTGGGTTCAACATGTTTGACGATTGCTATGTCATGAAGTGCTTCTAGGTCTCACGGTCTCACCTTTCTGGAGCTGAGAGCTGGAGAGCTCATCTTTTTGCCTTCCTGTGCCCCCGAAGGGCCGATGGTCCCCATTCCCGGCCATGGCAACATGGCAACGCTTGAGTGCCAGGGCATGTTGGAACCCTTGGTGCCATGCGTGGGAAAGTGCGAGCGCTGCGCAGGAAAAAGGCCGTATTTGTCTCGCTCAGTCGGTCAGTGAATCGCCCCCTTCTTTGACTCAGGCTTGGAGAAGGAGAAGAAGGAATCATATGACTGTTGCAGTTTGATTGATGAGTTCTATGTACTGCTAAAGGTGGCTCACTTCAGCAAACACCCGGTTTGTGAGGCAGTGCTGACAACCGCTGCATTGTTGCTTGGTGCATCTTGACATGTCAGGATGATTGTACACTTGCACAGTTTTCCCATTTAGCAATATCTGAAAGCAACAACATAAGGAAATGAACTTGATGGTGCAGGTGCACCACTCTTGAAGCTTTGTACTGTAATCCTTCACATTGCTGTAGTCCTAATGGACTTTTTATCCCGACAGCCAACCTTGGCACTGTGTGTGCCAACTCGGTTTCACATCATGGGGAAACATGGCTGCGGTCCGCTGTCAATGGGCTCTGGCAGAGCTGGAGCAGGTTAGGCCATGTGACTTGCTTTGACTATGAAGATTTTACCCTGGCAGTTACCTGCCTACCCCAGGTCGCACAGGATGCCTTGAAAACGCATGAAATGATGACTCAGGAATTTGGAAGCCATGGTACAATGTAGTACAATGATCTACAATGAACCCCGGGTTCTTCCTTGACATTTCTTGGCTCTGAAGGCCTCCATCTCGGAGCGCACTTGCAACAAAGCAGCTGGGCTCAAGCTGTGGGTGTTGGGACGCCAGGACACGATCGAAGTGGCAAGTTGTACATCCTAAACTCATCCTAACTGCCTTCCTAACTGCCTTCCTCAACCTTAGGCCGGGCCATAGGGCAGGTCGTTTCCACAACGCTCTTTCCTGTCCCTCCTGTGCTTTCCTTGTCAGGTCATTGCCACATGTGGCAGGCAGATTCAGTGGCAGCGAGCCATTCAGGTCAGGTTCCAAGCCACTCCTGGTTGAAACACACAATGCACACAACATATGTCATGAGTAATTACCATGAGTCATAATCATTCATACTGTGTGAGCGCAAAACGGATGGAATGGGCCAACCATGGGTATCACTACCCGTATAAATACCACCGAACCCAGATTAGTCCTCTCACCAGCGGCAGTCACTGAAAGAAGAACACGGGGCTACCAGCCAGATCTGGAGCTTCTGAATTCCAGTTGAAGATCCCACGCTTGCCATGCTCCTTTTCTGGTCCCAAGCGCAAGTCCATGTTTCTACTTGTAGGTGCTCTTTCAGATGGTGGAGGTGCGACAAGCAACGAGCATCAGCTGCAACAGTTGCATGGTGGCCTGCAGCAGAGCTTCCCATTGGCAAAAGGCTTTGCACTTGATGAGGCCATGTTAGATGCCTAAAGATTCATTGATTTCATTGACAATTCAAGCACAAATTCCGTGGATCGCGGATTGCAGGTGCTTGCGAGGTTTCATCCGCCACGACGGCGTCACATACAAGCAGGCGGCTCGCGCGGCTGGCGAGAGCAGTTGGCGCAGTGGGTTGAGACTTTTGCAAGAAGGACTTGCCACACATGCAGCTTCAAACGTTATGTGCAGATATCTATGGTATGAAAATAAAATGTAAATCAATATCTGGGTACATCCCTGGTGTATGCCTCTGTCACAACTGGACCTAAGGGCTTAAAACGGCGGCCCTTGGTGGGAGACTTGCTAGTAGTAGGCCTCCGTGTTGCATTGTTGGCACTTTTGCCCAAAATAAACCGAAGGAATGTAGATATGCTTGATTATGCTCGTGCATTGAAGCCAGCGGTTGAAGGATTTGAGAGAATGACGGAAGCAGATGTCATACACTATGACCTAGCGTTCCTTGGTGTTACAGCAAGCCTACCACTTGAGTTGATCAGTCCCTGGTGCAAACAAAACCCAAAAGCTGTATTGAACCATTTACTGCTTTACGGGACCTATTCATGTGCACGCTCTTTGGTTTGGTTGTGGGCACAGTAGCTGACAGGTTGTCGCTCCGGCAGAGTGCTGGTTCTGATCATTGGCCCGAAGCTCTTCACCTGATGAAAAACATGGTAGAAGCGCAGGTTCCTTGAGGATGTCACTGAGAATGTCACTTTGGGTTTCATTGTGAAAGTCTGTGGCCCCTGGAAACAATGGCGAGACATGTTTATATATGCAGTGCAGTGTGTCTGAGTAAGGTATCAGAGAGCAAGAACCTGGACATATTGAGTTCACATGTTTCGATATGTGCTGATTTCTATGATTGCTGATGTTTGTGTGGGTAGGAGATACTGTGAGGAATCCTGCGCTGGTCCTCCTGAGACAGACTTGTGTGAGTTCTATAATTCGAAAGCAGGTGCAAGCTGATGTGCGCAGCTATTCTTCCAGCATGACTTTCGACCCTGGCTTGCAAAGCAGACATGATCCATTGCTTCATTTTTCAGATGCATAAATGCGTAGGCATGGTGTGGGTGGCACTCCACTTGATCTTGGGCTAGTAGAACCCGAGGAAGCTGCTTGGCCCACCATTGGCCTCCTTTTCCAAGATTTGCTGCAGCGTATGGAGGCAGAAATTCAGACAATGACACAAAATGACATTGCATAGCTGAAGCAGTGCTGTAGCACACATTATCGTGTAAACATGTGTAGACATTTGATTGCACATAATTCTTGCATTTCTATTGCGTTTTACCGTCTGCCCGTGACAGGCCGACGAGTACACTTGCAACACTGCCGTCTCTGCAGCGCCATGGGTACGTGCCTGGTGTCTACTCCGTCGCAAGGAGCACGGGATGTCCGTTGTGTCTCACAATGCCGCCATGGCTGGAACTCCCTGGTTCAAGGCGGTTCAGGTGGGGTGACTGGTTACCTGGTGGTATTTGTGTCCTTCATAGCCACTACCATGGCAGTTTCGGACCCAAATGCTTTCCAACTCCGAAGATTTTGAGACAAACCAGATGCCAATGGCCAAGGGATCCATTGTTGGAATTGAGAATTTTAATCTTGTAGTCTTGCCTGTTGGAACTGCTGATGGCTATCCTTAGCCCAAGTCGATCTTCACTCATGTCATCAGGTCCTTCACACTCTGGAGACTGGAGGCTTGAAGCTGACTGCGGTGTCCTCTGGAACCATCTTGAGTCAAAGCCGTGATATGGAATGGCAGAGGCCGCTCTGGTTTCTGTCGCGCTGCCAGTCAAGGGACATCCAAAGCAACTCGATAGTTTCTTGTCATCCTTCGGGGCTTGTAGGCTGTCTTCCAACTCCACTTTCCTTTAACTGACAATTTTGGCGTGAGTTTCCGCAGCAAGCTTCAAGGTTCAAAGCAACGTACTGGCTGCCCATGTCGATTCTGGACATTGGCAGGAAACGCTCGGAAACGTTGCTGAGCTGTCTTAAACCAAAATATCACATGTTTGCACATTTTTTGGGCATCTTGTTTCATAATTCATAATTCCACTTTGGCAATGCTATGTGGCTATGTTTATCAATGCCAACTGAGCTACAGAAGCTGTGAAGTAGTTTGAATTAAACATGTGAAAAAAGGTGCCATATATATATACGTATATATATATATTGAAAATGCGTTCTTTCTTAAAATGTGAAACATGTGATTTAAACATGTAAAGCAACGTGCAAACAATGTATTTTTGAACGCTTCTGAAGGCTTGTTCTTTTCCATTTTCTTTTGATTCATTTGCGTGCTTTTGATTGCTTTTGGATTTTTCGTTTTTCGAGAGAAACATTTTGGAAAGAGGTCACTCGGCAGTGGAAGCTACGCCTATCCAACTACGAAGATTGGATCTTCAGAAAATGTGGTTAGGAATAATTTATTTTCACATTTTTCACATTCCCAACATTTTTTTAACCTGTATCACAATATATCAGCATCTACATTATCTACGCCTATACGTTAATTTTCAATGGTGTATGGCAGTGAATCAAAAGAATTAAGCACATATTGGAAAATAATCAACATTTAATCAAAAACGTGTTTTCCTAAAATGTCACATTTTTCACATTTTTTCGCAGTCTAAAATCACACTTTTCCCACATGTTTTAAACATGCATTTTTGAATTGCATTGTTTTCTGTTTCACATTTTTGCACAATTTTAATTATATATATATAATCCTTGTTTTAAGGCGTGTGGCATCTTGTGGCTGGAAATGGCCATGATAATGCTATGTCCATAGCAGCAGCTAGTGACTTGTTTTGGAAAGGCCTCGGCTTCAAGAGAGTGCTGGAGTATGTTGGAGTCATAAAAGTCTTGAAAGTCCTCAGTCTGAGGTGATGGCGTATCACAGCAGAGGAGGAAATTTGAATGTCGCTTTGAAGACCCTGAGCCTGAGCGCTTTTTCCCAAGCCGCGAGCTGGCAGAAAGCCTTGGCTCTCAGTGCTTCTGAGAGAATCGATGTTGTGCTGCTAAATGCTTTGGTCACATGCTGTGCCCGTGTGGCACGTTGGCAGGAAGGCCTAGAAGTTGTGTGTGGCAGTCTGGTGAGGCACTCGTTGCGAGCGAGTGTCGTCACCTTCAACGCGGCTTTGTCAGCGTGTGCCGCAGGTCGGCAGTGGCAATTGGCTGTCAATTTAATTGAGGAGATGGAGGGCCAAAGGCTAGCACCTGACAGCCTCACCTTGAACAGCTCCTCACCTTCCTGGTCAAACGACTTTCTTTTCTTTTTTTCCATCATTTCCCCCTACATTTTTGTTCGTGACACTCAATGTAGCAGCTTTGCGAAACGGACTGATTTCAAATTCCAGGTATGATGCTAGCGCTTGGGGAGGCTGGCTTCTGGCAACATGCCTTTGAGATCCTGAAGATGTTTTCTTCTTGCAGCTGCCGCTAGGTCAACATATGTTACAATTGTGCTGAGAGGCTTGACATGGATTGACACTCACGCAAAATGTGCTGATCTGACCACATTTGTGGGGCTTTGCGGCTTTTCCCCATATTGTTTTGTAGTACCTGCTGACTGTCTGCACTTTGTGTGTTGGTGGCTTGTGTTTTCTGATGCATTTTCTGATGCATGATTTATTGATGCCTGCAAGCCAACGCACACACACACACATGAACCCGCACTGGTTACGTACCTTCTCACTATGCAGTACTATGCAGTACTATGTTGCACACTCTGGTTACGTTGGTAGCTGTCATGTTGCCAATGTAATGCTTTGTGCCCAGGAATCCTACTTCTGTTTTAGTGACCTTCTAGTAACTAGATTGTGCATTGTATGTTTGACCTAGGCCGCTCTCCTAGCTTTCATTGAACTTGTGCTAGTTTCCATTGCCCGAAGAAATGCCATTTCGTGTAGGCTGGGTTCCCCCAATCTCACCACCTCGAACTTTTGCATGGTCACAGAGTCCTTGGAAGCCCTTGCTGTCCACTATGCAGTCCAAAAGCTCTTGCCAAGTGTCTTCATCACCCTTTCCCACACCTCAAGGCCTCCACCACCAGGAGGGTCCTGTCCTTGTGAACCTGCCAGTGGTTTCTGTTCAATCGAGTGCGCAGATGGTACCATTTTGGTTCTGTACCCAGAAGAGGGCTGAGAAAGTGCTGGCGATATTTTTGACTAAAATAGTGTGGTTCATTGATCCACCCTACAGCTAGGTAGAAACGTGTAAGATGCTTGACACTTGGATGACATGATGATTTAGATTTTCCTTTCCGAGGCGAAGCCAACGTGGTTTCCTTCACTACGGCCATCACAGCTTGTCCCGCCCATCAGTGGCCACAAAGCCTCGTCCTGGTACAGCAAGCTGCCAGTGATGCCGCTGGTGAAACCAGCTGGGCAGCAGCGGTGACAACGCTGGGTCGCGCTGTTCGTTGGCGCGAGGCTATGTGCTTGGGGCACATAGCCATGGAAGGAACCCACGATGCTGTGATGCTTGCCTATGCCACTGCGGTAGAAAAAATGTCTTTGGAAATGCGTGCTTCCTGTGACAGGACCCGTTTTGACCCACAATTTGAAATAATTAAATAGCATTTGCCCGACTGACCGGGCTGAAGTATAAACTCACAGGAGTGACGAGATCATGGCTTCTGAAAAGCCAACAGGAAGAATCGTTTCCAGCAGATACCATAGATGCATCGATGTATATATATATAAGTAATATCTCTTTGAACAAGTTCTATGAGTTGCTTGCCGTATTCTTGGCGAGACTTGGAGAAAAACGGCAACAGACAGCAGTTCGGAATACCTGCTTGGAGTTTGGAGCCTATTTTTTTAGCTTTTCCCGCTTCACTTCCTCAGCGGATTGAAACAGAGGCTTTCAAAGGCAGTCGGCAAGCAAAAAACGAACTGCATTTTGCAGTTGTGATCTTGCCTGTGGTTGCATTTGGCTCCAGCTTTTCCCGCATTTTTCTGCCTGACTGTTTGTGCCAGTCTTCCGCCAGTCATGGGTAACGCTTGCTCTGAGGGATGCTATCAGATGTTGGGTGGCGGCAGCGCCCAAGTGACGGAGCTGCGAGCTTGCAAGAAGGATTCTCGTCCTGCAGAGGGCAGGTTTGGTGGTTTTGGCATGGGAATGTTGTTCTAGCAGGCAACAGCTATGAATATCACGTTTGGATTGAGTGCAGCGAACCAAACACAGCTACCACAAACAAGTATGATCATGCAATCCGTTTCCTTTAGCAGTCTCCCAGTTGGTTTGGTTGAATGAATGACGTTCGACAACTTCTTTGAAGCCCTGGTGCAGTTGAGGTGGTTTAGGAGAGGGATGCTGATGCAGCCAGCAGCAACTGACAGCTTGAGCTAAGGAGTTGAAGGAATTGATTGAAACTCGCAATTGCCATCCCATTCTGGTTCGCTTGGCTTGGCACGACTCTGGCACCTATGACCAGCGCATCAAGGAGTGGCCTCAATGCGGTGGTGCCAATGGAGCCATCCGTTTTGACCCTGAGATGAACATGGGCGCCAACGCAGGCGGGTGCTGCAAGCTCATGGCCAGCTCCAGTTCATGATAGGATCCATGAAGGGATTCCGGACACGCAGCCACTTGAAGCATATGAACTGAGCAGGTCTTGACAAAGCCCGAGGCTACCTCCAAAAGATCCATGAGGCTTTGGGCTTTTGGTGGTACCTTCCATGGTGAGAAGAATTCATGGGAGAAACCTCAGCAACAGAATGCCAACACGCACACACACACACTCGATCCAAGAATATTCAAGGTGCATAGAGCATACAAACACTTGGTTGTGGGCAGCTCGACGCTCCATGTTTGATAAGAATGGTTGCAAAATACTTTGGCGTCCAAGCGTCCTGCCGGGATTGGGTTTAACGTTCTTGGCCTGGAGGCACATCCCACCGTCTCCTGGGCTGATCTCATCCAGTTGGCCTCTGCGACTGCGATTGAGATGGCCGGCGGACCTGTGATCAAGATGAAGTCCTGCGGATTTGCTTAAGTTTTTTCTTCGCCCTTTTGTTGCTACCATCCTTTTGTTGCTACCATCTGCTATCCATATTTTGGCAAGAACTCCCCTGCCCCAAGTTCTCTTCAGAGAGTGGAAAGGGATGGGAAGTTGAAGATGCTTGTTTCCATCATCGGGATATTGCCAAAGATATTGCCATATGTTGCCCAGATGTTTGCTGGTTTCGCCCGTTTTGTCCGTTTTGGGTCACTGTCACAGGTACGGCCGTGTGTCGGTGACTGGGCCTGAGCAGTGTGCTGGCCCCCAGAGCCGCCAGGGCTTCAAGGGCAACGCTGGGCTCCCAGATGCGGCTCCTGGAGCTGATGGGACCTTTGGTTGTGGTGCAAAGACCCCGGAGGAGACCGAAGCATTTTGGATGCCAGAGATCTAAGAGGATCTGTGTCCAGCTTCAGATTTGGATGCGCATGATATCACATGATATACGTAGATCATCTTCGGCTTCTGTAGAAAGCTGTGAACTCAAACTTGGTTGGAAAAACACACGGGGACTGGTGCTGTAATATGTATGTGTATATATATATATATGTATACATGTGTGTGTGTGTGTGGTCCATATGGTATTGTATAGTGGTGTGTTGCTGTGTTTCCTGCGAGAGGAACACTTGCGCAACGTCTTCGGCAAGAAGATGGGCTTTACGGATCAAGATATTGTGGCCCTGAGTGGTGCGCACACAATCGGCCGTGTCTTCAAGGAACGCAGCGGAGCCTGCCCCTTTGGATACGGTGAACAGGCAGCCTCCAAGTACACCAAGGCTGGGTGAACAACTGTGACATATTGACCCCTGAGATGGACGAGCCTGAGATAGAAACATGATGAAACATGATGAAACATGCACATGAAAATACATGAAATAACGCGCGCATTTCAGAGATCCAGTTGCGCGTTTGGGTGGCCAGGGCAGCTGCATCGTGCGCAAGGACAAGAAGTCAGGCTGTGGAATGGTTGGCGGTGCCGCGTGGACGAAGAACTGGCTGACCTTCGACAACAGCGACTGGGACATCAATTCTAATTCTAAGATTGAGATTATTGAGAGATTTGAGTGCCATATGATTTAGGAATATTTAGATATATTTGGTACAGTATGAGTTTGCAAAATCTGACGCGTTCAGACTGCAGAAGACTTACCCAAGTGCAACAGAATCTGTCCACCAGTTGCTGGGTCGCCTCTACCTAGGCTACTACACTGACTATAAGCAGGCCATGGACGACGACGATCTGATGTGGTTGCCAACTGATGCGTGCCTTCACGAGGACCCAGAGTTCAAGAAGTACTTCTACAAGTATGCAGGAGACCAGGCAGGTGCTTGGTTGCCCAGTAGGTTTGGATTTTAGTTCCCACTTTGGTGGCCAAAAAACTTGCGCCAAAAAAATAATATCCCAGCAGTGATTGTCTTGCGTTGGATTAGCATGCATCAAATGCCTTCAACAGTATCTTGCCACAGTCAAAGAGGAATCCAAAACCCAAGAACAACAACTTTTGCAGCCACCCATGCTTTTGGCAGTGAAAAATCCGTCTAAGTATCTCTGGGGTGTTGGCCGTGGTTCTTCTGTCATTGTTTGCGAGCTTTTCTTCAGGCGGCCTTCTTCCAGGATTATGCCTCTGCCCACAAGAAGCTCTCTGAACTGGGATGCAAGTTTGACCCACCTGCAGGCTTCCAGATTTGAGCATCAAAGGGTGTGAAGTAACTGGACAAGGGCCAGACTTTGCGATAGATCCAGGCTTCCAAATTCATGGCCTGCTGGAAATGATACATGATACATGTCATGAAAAGGGCAAACCATGCATGACGAGTACCCAAGAAATGTTCAAGCCTGATTCTTAAACTGCCCAGCAAGAACAGGCCGCACAGGTGATTTGGAAGTCTGGAGACGCAGGTCAATTGTTTATTCTCAGGGAAGAACACGGTGACTAGTGAACCCACAGCAACATCAAGGTGCACTCAGATTTTCTCCTCACCGTGTCCATTTATATCCTTGTGAAGAGACGCTATAGAACTCTTGGCCGCCACGTTCACAGCAACGGCGGAACAGCACATAAACAACCTCTCGTCGAGGAACATGACAGAAAAAGGAGCTTCGGAAACAGCATAGATATCGATCCATATCTATCCCAAATTGGAGGTTTTGCCTTTCGATGGCTTTTTTGCACATTGCTTGTGCAGTTTTAATGATATAAATGGATGATATGCGCAATTCAGGCTTTAGCTGCCAAGGAGGTGCAAAGCCGCCTTGAAACAATCAAAGCGACCGAATGGGGGGCATGTCTCAAGACTTGGTAAGAATGAACAGCGACTCCCAGCGATAGAGAGAGAGAGAGAGATAGAGTGATTATAGAGTGATAGACAATAATAGTAACAATTACAGTATTAGTGATTAGTGACTACCGTGGTTACCTATCCATTTCTTCTGGTGGCAGGTTTTAACTCGCAGCCACAGAAAAGACACCTCACGAACATGTTGTGGCAGCCACTAACAAGACGCGCTACGCATTCACCACCAGGAAGGGTAGGGCAATGCAACGCAATGCAACGCAATGCAACAGCCAAGTCATACTGTTTACACTCATACCTCAAGGGTCCCTTTTCATTAAGGTTATATTGCTTTCGGTCCTGGTCGAACAGACCATTGGCTTCCAAGAGCCTTTCTGCCTTGCACAGAAGCGAAGCTGTGGTCGTCATGGCGTTAATTGGAGCTGCTTTGGGAGCCACAGCGCTCTTCAGCAGCTTAGCATTGAAGACTCACAATCTCACTCCTGGCTTTTCTTCATGTCCCCTCGTAAGTTTTAACCAATGGTTCCTACCACACTGCCTACCACACTACCTGCGCTGAGTGTTACAAGTTGCACTTGCAAGGCTATAATCGTGAAAACTTCAAGTTTGACAAGCAGCAGACGCTGTTGAGCTGCTTGGCTTGCAGGCCTCCGCAGCGGCAACATCCCACAGTGTCCCTTCCCTCTAAGCAACGCTTCCTTCGACTTGAGGAGAAACATTGCGCTTAGATATGCAGTTGAAGCGGTTTGCGCTCTTCCGCGACGATGTTCGGGACCTTGTCACCCTCACTGTGGACAGAGCCCTGCATGCATTGACAGCAGGGCTCGGCAGAATTAAATGGCCTGGCATGATTTTCCATGATATAAACATCACTACAGTCACTTCAGTCGTTACAGCCTCGTATGGCTGCCCAAAGCTGCAGCCATTTCCATGCGCAACTTCAAGCATGAGATCACAGAGTGTTGCCCAACATAGCGTGACAAAAGAGACATAGAGAAACAAGCCACCCAGGAATGGATGTGTACCATTTGATCGGAGCACTGTTCATGAAGTTTTGCACCTTGGTTGCAATGAAGTCAGTGAAGCTTCCTGAACATCTCAGAAGGTCCTGCCCTGTTTCAGGTCGTCCGAATTTCCTGCAATTGTAATTGGTAAGGAGCAAGGTTTGGATAATGATGGGTATGTCCGGCCGTTCCGGCACAACACCACTTCGGCATAGCCCAGGTATCATCGTTTTCTGCAAGGGGAGGATCCAAGCATCAGCCACTTGAGCTGCAACGACATCAGCGACTCTGTCAGTTTTGATGCCTGCAAAGCAAGGCAAAGCAAGGCTGCCGGAAGCATTGGCATGATTTGCATGGTGTTTCTTACATTTTATATACTTTAATTCCTTCATTGACGTAAGGCTCCGCCCTTTGTTTTGCAGCTCTTTCAGCTCTCCAATGCATGCGCTTTCATGTCGCTCGAAGTGCAACATTCATGGGAGACTTCATGCATATGGTTTCACAACCTCAGAGGTGGATTTTGGAACCAGACATGCTTAAAGATCTGTCGTAAACGGTTCTGATCATTGCTCCAAATGTTTTGCCTTCCTCATGATCAGCAGGCAGTAGATTGAAAAGCTCACCGGGGAGCCGGACAGAGTTAGCGCGAACAAAACGATTTGTCTTTCCACAAGCAATCATGATGAGAATGACAGTAACATGCATCCAATCGATTTCCGGACGGAAGGTCATTCTTCACTGACTCTCCACTGTTGCAAGGTACCTGCTACTGGCAGTCTGGCTGAGTATGCATGCATCCATCGCGTCACACAGCTTTGGGGTGAAGATGTCGGGCAGCCCAGTAGCCGGGGGTAGCAGTGAAATGAAGTTGGATGGTTTCCTCCTAAGCGGAATTTGGTTCACATGAAATACGCAAGTCGTTCTTCAGTGGCAAAGCTCTGCCACAGTCCGCACAGTTTTCCATCTTTTCATGGTTGCAGACCATCAGATGTCATCAGACGTACACATCATCACAACTACCCGGGCCTTGCCTGGCAACTCCTAGAGAAACCATTTCCATGTCACAGAACTTTCTGAGGTTGACACGTTTCGTGCGGCTGCCTATCCCCACGCAGAAGCAGCTCACGCTCTTGCAGGCGCGAAGCGTTTGAAAGGTGAGATGACATGAAATAACGATGTTATCTGATTTTGTTGGCCATGCCCATTTCGAAGACATGCCCCGCACAGAACAGAGACGCGGGCTTGATTGCGCACCCAAATAATACTGTACAATGCCAAAATCAAACATATGCAGGTCAAGTGCATTGTTGGTGTGTTTTGGTTGTGCTTGCAGCCCATCTCGAAGCAAACTCAATTTTCAGAGTCCCTTTGTCCAAGAATAATCTGGAACCTGTCTTGCTAACATCCGTACAGCGAGAGACTCGCTTTCATCTTTGGGGCCTTGGGGCTTTGGAAGCCACGAATGACAAGATGCCGTGTAAGGCGAAGCTCATTGACTTTGAGAAGCAGGGCGTCGGGAATATGCTACGGATGCCTTTCCAGGATCATCAGGAGCCGTGCAGATGCATGTGAAGCATGTGAGCTCATGTGCCTGCTAGAAACTGCCAGAAACTGCTTTCATACATTTTGTTCTCATCGTTCTCTTGTATTCTTGCCATGCTCTCTCTGCACGCAGATCTGCAATTTTGCAAACTTTCTTTGCCTTTGGAAATTGCTACCCCATGCTGTGCCCCCCCCCACACCTTTGTGCAGGAGTGGGAGGCCGTGCGAGGCGGCGAAGGAGCCATGGGCTTAGAGGAAACTTTCAGCACCTTGCGTCGAGACATTTGTGTGATGCCTATATTATCGACGGAGTATGTCCCAGTGTTTGGAAGAGGCGAGCCCGTATTTGTTGGATTGCAGTGTTTTGGTCCCTTTGAACCAAAGCTTTGCTGCGCATTCTCGGACACGGTTTCAGATGTCCAAGGCGACAGGGCCGCCAACAGTTGCCATGGATGCAGGCGGGTCCGCGACCATCTTCAATCGTAGTTTCTGAAAGTCGGGGCCATCCACCTCTGATCCCACCGCGTTTGATTTTGTAAATACGGGATAGAACGAGATGTGCCATGGTCAAAATCTGGTTTATTGTCAACCCCCCGATTAATTGGGGTTACTATCTAATCTTGTAGGAAATCCATATTGATGATGGGATGACCATGGCCCATATACCATGTTTTGACCATGGCACATATGGTTCAGGGGTGAGGAATTCTCAAGCCAGTGCTCTTGCAGAGAGTGATAGGTCCCCTGACACTATGTTGACTTCTCGAGTTAAAGGGCGAGGGGAACTCTTTCGATGTTACATAGGGTCTGGAATATCAGAGAGTGTCCTCGAGCTTCTAAGGAAGTAGAGTCAAGTGGAGATTTATTCCGGCAAACATTTGATGTCAGTAGAAAGTCCTGATCCAAGTGCAGGCACAGCCAGCGCCAGCTCTGCCAGCCGAGTGAATGGGACAACAAGCACTGCGCAGGCGCATGGCTTCGAGCTTCAATCCGTCAATGGCTGAAACCAACCATTGCGGAAGCAACTCTCAAGTCATGCCAGTCATGCTGTCCATTGCTGTCTTGTGTGCAGGCTTCTGACTTGAGAGCGGCATGCGCTGCAGATGCAGGTGAGGGTTTTGCTCGGACATGTTTGACGGATAGTCCGATAGTCCAGTTTCAGCGTGATCCAACTGCAATACATGCCGCGGAGAATCAGACAGCCTGGGTTGTCAAGAACCCTATCATTAGCGACCTACTTGGTCCACTTTTCATGGATTATCCTGTCAAAGCCAAAATCGATACGCAAGCGAGATTTAACATAGAGTACCAGCAGTTCAGCTGCAAGAACCTTTCAAGGTTTCCCAACAGGGGCGCGGGCGCTTGAACGTATTTTATCATATTTCATCGTATTTCGATCCATGTTCATTTTTTTCGGATGCCCTGAGATGTGCAAGGCCTGAAGGGCGACTCTGTTGTTCAATGGTTCTATAGGAAGCCATGAGTTTAGCCGTTTAGTCTTGCTATTGAGAGCTATTGAGTCAGCTTCGATGATTCGGCTCTGGCCCATCGAATTTAGCTGAACCGCTTGATGGACTTCCCTAGAAAGTTCTGCTTAAACAAAATGAAGAGTGACACATGTGCAGGTGCTACTTCTACGATGCTTTTGGACGCAAAGGAGTCTTGGTGTCTGCAGATGTGTGGAAGATGCCTGTTCCTGCTTGAGTTATCCAGAGGTAGTACATTTTATACGTTTATAATATACATGATAAGTTTTAGGTTTTGAATATGTCTATGTTGTTCAGAAGCTTCAATCGCCACCAAACTGTGGGAGGAGATGACAATATTCAAGGACCATGTAAGAACTATTATCAACTGAGGGCCATGCGGCATGCGGGTGTAGTTTCCTCATTTTTTCTCTGTTGTCCTGTCACAGGAAACGCAGCCCTTTGAAGATTTGCTGAGCAGCAGTCGTGGCGCCATGCCAGAGCGCCATGTCCAGCTTTTTCGAACCTTGGCAATGGACTGGGACACAACGACTTGTGGCCTAGAAATGCCTAGATTTCGTTGGGGTCAATGTGGGTAAAGTAGTAAATGACCAACAGCGGAGCCATGAGAATGCTTGTGCCGGTGAGGCAGCTACAAACAAGCATGAAACCGCAATCTTGTTTACAATTTACACTTGTGACTTGTGTGTTTCTTGCTGGCGCCAATAATGTACCCTCACTGGCTCTTATTACGAAAGCCAACCAGGTAGGCCTGGCTGAGCTCTTGCTGCGAGCGAATGGGGCAGGTCGGGCCAGAGAGACCAAAAACGGTCGCGTGGGTGGTGTTTCTTTGGAGGCTTTGAAGGCGCATGTGCCAGGTGGCAATTGGGTGGCGCTGGGGTTCGATTTCCCGCTGGTCCGTAGGTAAAGGGGGTTGGGAGGAGACCAGATGGCTGCAAAAGAGATGGAAGATGTGGGAAGATAGGCAAGCGTAAGAAGGAAGCGGCTTGAAAACAGGTATGGAGAATGAGAAACCCCGATGGTGATAACAGAGAGGGAAGGTCTAGTGGGAAAGGAAGGTGCACCAGAGGGGCGTGTGTTGAACTTCCAAGGGGGTTTGGAGGGAACTAGATTCAGATGGTGACAACTTAGAGCGAAGATCTAGTGGGAAGACATTCCACAGCACGGCGCTGGGAAGGAGGTTCACGAGAGATACGCAATAACAGGTTACGGGCAGGGTTTTGTCGAGGAGTCTAGCCCGGTATGATTAGCATCGGGGGGCAGGAAGGTATTGTGGGCTCCTCGAGGCTCTTAAATGAAAGCTCCAAGGAGCTCCAATTTGGACCAGCAAGAGCCCAACTTGGACCAATATAACTTCATATACACCCAACAACTTATTCCGCACAGGCCTAACATAGCCCCAACATGGCCCCAATAGCCCCAACATGGCCCCAACATGACCCCAGAACTGTAGGCTCACTTCAATTGAGACCCAAACTCCCAGTTTTTGTGCCAACAAGAGCCCAACATGAACCAACCTGTATATATAGCTCAACATAAACCCAACTGTAGCTCCCGCGTAACTCCAACATGGCCCAAAGGCCCTGAGGTGAACCAGTGTGCAATATAGCAACACACCAGGATATTTGCATTCATTTTTGTTTTGCACGGGCATACACACACACATCATACTTCTATATATAAATGTCTTATGCCTCATGCGGATGCGTGCAACGTGCTTGCCATTTTGCTATCTCATCTCACGTGCGCTTGTTACCCCGCATTCGGCACCCCCATTTGACATATTTTTTTCTCAACTCCTGGAATCCAAAAAAGGGGGAAAATTGACTAGTTTTGGTGTTGACGGACTGAAACTTAGAACCATGGGGAAAATTGACTAGTTTTGGTGTTGACATGTTTTTTTTCTCAAACTCCTGGAATCCAAAAAATGGTGAAAATTAATTAACTAGTTTTGGTGTTGACATGTTTTTCTCAAACTCCTGGAATCCAAAAATGGTGAAAATTGACTAGTTTTGGTGTTGACATGTTTTTCTCAAACTCCTGGAATCCAAAAAATGGTGAAAATTGACTAGTTTTGGTGTTGACATGTTTTTTCTCAAACTCCTGGAATCCAAAAAAATGAAGAACATTGACTAGTTTTGGTGTTGACATGTTTTTCTCAAACTCGTGCAAGTCAAAAAATGGGGAAAATTGACTAGTTTTGGTGTTGACATGTTTTTTTTCTCAAACTTTTGGTGTTGACATGTTTTTCTCAAACTCGTGCAAGTCAAAAAATTGGGAAAATTGACTAGTTTTGGTGTTGACGGACTGAAACTTAGAACCACGCTCCCCAAAATATTGAAAAATCATGACGGGCGATTCTAAGTTGCTCCCAAAACCCCCCGAAATGGGTCAGGTTCTATCTTCTGGGTAAAAAAAATTGGAAAAAACCGGGACATTCTAAGTTTCAGTCCGTCACTATAAGTGATTTCATCCCCTACCTCCATCATGTTTTCTGCACGAAAGTTAGCCAATAGGCCTGGCTGAAGTTCCTACTGCGAGCGAAGCGAGTTTAGGGGTCCGGGGGGCAGAGCAGGCAAAAGTGGTACAAACTGTAACAAACTTACGTAATTGCAAGAGACTGTAGGAACTTCATGGAACTTCCTAAATTTGGAGATGCAACCCATGGTTTTCTGTAAAAACAACCCAATGAGGAGAGGCTCAGGCAATAGATATGGTAAGCTATTTCACCTCAAGCCATTGAGATGCAAAAATGGTTAAACCAAACAACCACGTTTCGGAACCTTGTGGGCGCGCGCCGACATGTTTACTTTTTCATTCATATCTTCAGCCATGCGTTGTCATCTGACACTTTCCCAATTTTTTTGGGATCGCATCCAACCTGAGACATTCTGGCTTGCCGGTAGGAAGCCATGGCCTGCAACACTGTTTCTAATCCGGGAGAATCTAAAATTTTTTGCATCGCCAAAGGAATTATGTGAGACTGGGATGGCTGCATTCGACCTATTTGGTTGACACGTCTCAGAGATCGCTTGACCCGCGAAAACTCTGCTTCGCTGCTATTATCTCCTCCCACGATTTTGGCAATTGTTTTCTTTGGGCTCATCACGCAAGCTGGCTTC